TCCTCCGAGCGACTCCTTTTCCCTACATCTCCATGCCCGTTTTCCCCCAAACGATCGCGCGTGTGCTGACTGCCCTCAACGCAGCCCCGCTAGGTCCTCACGTTTGCATGCTAAGTGTTTCTATGAGTGCTTGTCCCGCTCTGATACCATCTGTCACGGACTTAGCTAGTTTTGCCTAAGTCGTGCGGCACCCTTGCATGTCCGTTCGCAAAGGTCAGCCTCCCCGATTCTCGCACGTGTCCACATGACACAACCTTTATTTACAAGCCTAAAGAGGCCACCAACCCAACTAAAATGGGACTCTTAAGCCTTCGGCCGCCCCTTTACATGCTGTACAAGGCATGGATATGCCAAAAGATACGGACATACATAAGCATTACATCAAACACCTTGTTTAGAAGTTTGTCCGTGACAGTTGGTCGTTGGCCAAAGACAAGGGCGAAGTTTCGCTTTTCTCAGCGACATTGGTCGTTGGACAAAGACAAGAGCGAAGCTTTGCTTTTCTCACCGCTCTGATACCATGATAGAAAAGAATAGAAGATAAGAACAATTATTGAAGAAGCTTTATTGAAGAAATAAAAATGCTAAATCCTCAATAGAAAATTTTTCTCGTGCAGAATAGGAATGTGGCTACAGCGGCATTGGTCGTTGGCCAAAGACAAGAGCGAAGCTTTGCTTTTCTCACTGCTCTGATACCATGATAGAAAAGAATAGAAGATAAGAATAATTATTGAAGAAGCTTTATTGAAGAAATAAAAATGCTAAACCCTCAATAGAAAATTTTTCTCAGAATAGAGAGATTTCCTCGTACAGTTGAAAAATCTTATCTTCTATCAATATCTTTATCCAGAGAATGTAATCATTTCGTGTTCTAGCCAAGCAAGCTTGGGTTTACAAGTCTTGGGGAGATGTACCAGAGGACCAAGCTTGGGTTTACAAGTCTTGGGGAGATGTACCAGAGGACCAAACCTTCTTCAACGACTTTTACCGTAGCAAAATATTCTTGGGAGGCAGAGCAGACAGCGGAACAGAATAGAGAGATTTCCTCGTACAATTGAAAAATCTTATCTTCTATCGATATCTTTATCCAGAGAATGTAATCATTTCGATTTCTAGTCAAGCAAGCTTGGGTTTACAAGTCAAGGAAGCTTGGGTTTACAAGTCTTGGGGAGATGTACCAGAGGACCAAGCTTGGGTTTACGAGTCTTGGGGAGATGTACCAGAGGACCAAACCTTCTTCAACGACTTCTACCGTAGCAAAATATTCTTGGGAGGCAGAGCAGACAGCGGAACACAACCAAAAAGCGAGGGAGTCGCCGCCGACCCAAGACAACAAGTGTTACCTTGGCTGGTGGTATCTGGGACAGTAACAGCCCCGCCGCGGTGGGATTCGGGGGCAGCTCTTCCGCCCCACTAAAAGTCCAAGAAGTCGACCGCGGTCCTTTTCGACCCCGTCACACGCCGCTACCGAATGATCGAATTGTGCGTCTCATTTGTATGCACTTATCCAAAAGCTCCACCGCAGTTCACATGTCATGGGTTAACTTGTTCTTTGGCAGCTACTATTGCCCTTTCCATATGGTACCGACACTAGCAATCGAGAGATCAGAGTCACTCGATTTGAAGCACTAAATACCTGTTCCTGAGATCATGCAGACAGAGGGGGCACATATGTGGGGTCTTTTGACCCCGAAGCATGCAAGCAACCTGCGATGGAGGGCCGGCCCACTGCTTCAGCATTATTGTGGACGACGATGTGCACCGTTCCAAGGAATTAAAAGTGGTTTCTACTGTGTGGCATCTCTGACGACTGGTCGCTTGTCGTATCCCGGCTTGGGGGTACCGACAAGCTGCTGTAACGCATACCGAGATAGGAGAGCGGCGTGGAGTCCAAGAACGGCAAGGCGTGAAAGACGACTACAGGAATAGAATCCAAACCGAATTGAATACCTCCGACGATTTATCGATTTCAAATTGAATCGAAATTGATTAACGATCATTTAATTTAATTTTATTTTTTTTTTAATTAAAAAAAATCTCGAAACTATCAGTTGAAGAATAGAAACAGTCAGAATCGATAATTCTGATTTCGATTCGAAACATCAATAATTTTTAAAAAATAAAAATATATAGTCAAATAATGCTATTGATCGACCATTAGGTTGTGTGCTTGGTCCAATGATTCTGGGAGGAGCAAATGATCACTTTACTCCTCTCATAATTATATTAACAGCTATTTTCACGGGGATAATGATTATTTTATAATTTAAAATAAAAAATAATCTCTTCTAACAATTAAATAATATTTAGTTTTGGGGTATTTTAGTAAAAAAAATCTGAAAATCTTATAAATACCCTCTCAATCCCCTCATCCACTATTAAGCTTTTAAGATCTCTCCTTCGATGGTAAGTGGAAGTCATTACTTCATTATCAAAGAGATATTTGAAAATCTGATCGTGACAACTCAAGAAAGGTAACACATCAACGTAAGTCAAATATTTTAAAGCTGTATTTTAAAATTTAAAATTTAAAAGAGGAGGATATGAAACTTTTCGAAAGCATATTGAGAAGAAATATCTAACATAAACTGGCATGAAGAAAAGTCATTTGAGTACCTTATTAATCATACTTTCATTTTTCTATTATGAAGCATTAGCTATATTATTTTTTATTAAATATTTATTTTTAGTTTTGGTACAAAAAATGATTTTATGGATTATTGTCAATAATAATCTTACCCACACTTTTTATGATCTTTATAAGAAAATTATAAAGAAAAATTGAGCTTTGGATGGCTATGTTTATATTTGTGTTGATATTTAGAGTGATCACTATCAAATACACTCATACATGCCAATCATTTATCATTGGATTGATAGTGATTAGACCATATAAAAAATACTTTTTTAGAATTTTTTTAAAACAACATAAGCCAATAATATTTATAAAATAATTATATATATTAAAAAATTATTGGTTTTGACAATGCAATAATAATTACCGCTTTTATTCTAGAATTACATGAAGTATATCAACTTACTTTTGATAGTATCCCTTTTATATTAGATATGTTTGCCATGTTTTGAATTTATGTGTACAAGAAGGTTTTAGATCTTTGAAATTGTTCTTTCTCCCATTAAACAAATTATTTCATTCTTATAAGATCATTCATAATATTTTATAAGGATGTTTCTATCCAATGAATTCTACTTATGAATTGTTTAAACAATCTTTTGAATATAAGGAATTACTATGTACTTTTATTATAAATAATATTATGCATATTAGTTTATATCCATAGCATTGGTATGTATGCAAAAAAATTATAAATTTAAAATTTTTAATAATATAATTTATACTTTGTCTAGTGTTTATTATCCTACTATATATATTTTTTAGTCATTTATATTAATATTGATTTAAATATGATAATAATTACTATGAAATCAAAATGGATAATTAAAAAAACCATTATTGATTTATTTAGTTACTTATGTTTTTTATCCTAGTACTAAATTAGATGACTTAAGTGATAATTTAGCCACTTAGTATAAAAATTTTAGGAGCAGATGCTAACTATACGAGAGAACATAATACCCTTGAAACTTGTACATCTATGGATCAAATTAGCATGATAGTAAAATCAGAAGAAAAATTATTATTGCAAAATAAAAAAAATGAAGGGGATACTTGGAGCTTAATATGTACCTAATAACTTCTTTTGAGTTAAGTGATAGTCCATACAGGAATAGAGTTTTCTATTATGGAATGATAGGCATAATATATAATGATATTTTTAATTTTGACGATGATCACAAGGCAAATTTGACAACTTTAGTGTCGATAGTAGTTGTGGAGCAAGCCTTCGAGTTGGGAGGACAAATCCTGGATGAAACTAAATCGAATATAACCATCAACGATTAGACAAATGCGATAAAACGAAACCAAGATATTATTCACGAATACAACGACCTCCTATTTAATGCATCAATCGAATGGATGAATTAAGCAATTAAAAATTTATAATTTTACTCAATTTTATCATCTTTTTTTTCATGTCATTACATAGTTACACTCATTATAGTTGTACGTTTATTTTTTAAAATTTACTAATAAAATTATAAATTTTCGTATTATAAATTTTTTAATTAGAAATAATAAAATATTATCAGTTCAAACCAAAATTGGCCTTGGACGATTCTGAAGCCATGGTTAGGACAATTAGATTGGACAAAGTCGTGATCAGAGCTACTAGATTGTGGACTGTTTTGATTGCCACTAATTGTGGACTGTTTTAATGTAATTTCTCTCTCTCTCTC